ATTATTAATATAGTTCGATGATTGAGAACCGGAGATTATAATAATATCTCATTTCCGTGCTGCGTAGTTGAGCTTATTTAAGTGACTTACTTAATGTCCCAGAATGATATAAATTTTTTATCAATTTACTTATCAATATCTTTAAGACACAGGTGGTAAAATTAAAAATTTTGTACAACCGACTTACAATATAATTAGTTGAGAACATCATCAATGTAGTCGAAGTCCATTAAATACCTTCAGATCTTGATCAATACGAAACAACATGAGAAGCACAAGTTTTCAAATCAAAAAAATCATCAAAATCTAGAAAAAAGTTCTGAGGTAACACATAAAAAAATACAGTCGAATTAAGAACCTCCTCTTTTTAGTCGGTTAGAAATTGGCTAATTTTAGTGCGATTTTATTGCGGTAAGTAACATAATGTTCATTCAAAAGTCAGCCTCGCATAGCGTTTCTTATTAAAAGGATATTAGCATAAATTCAAATTACATATTAGTGTAAATATCTAAACAGAAAAAGCTGTATTTACGGCAGCTGCAGTAGAATTTAAATCACTTTGTGTCTAAAGAACTTTTAAATAGACCCACTTGCGAGACCTTTGTATTCCCGCCTTCATTGTGGTCAGACATTGTACAATAAAATAATGTGCCACTTGAAAATTGCGTTTAATGTGACTGTGTTTATCTGTCAGTGACATCTATGTTGAATTGAATGATAAGTGGGTAAACATTAATTGCAAAATTGTCCTACTTTGTCGCAATGTAAACGGCTCCGTGGCGCAGTGGTTTAGCAATGAGACGCAGCTCTAAGGGTCGCGGATTTGATCCCTCAAGGAAGAATTATTTGTATGACCTACAAATAATTGTTACAGGCACAGAAATCATAATAATAAGCCAATAGAAGTCGCATAGACGCGTGACCTTGTCGCCGCTTATATGGGTTGACGAACATAATTCACCATTTTGTGATTTAGTTGTGCGGGGAACGTCGTACGTGAATTTCTGTCATTATAAATTGCACTGCAGCATAATCAGGTGTAAAAACTCATTAAGGCTCGTTGTATTTAAACTAATAAAGGCATAACATTTCATCAGTAAGTTGATTATTTACTAATTATCATTGTTTTAATTAATTTACATTTAGATGAATACTTTTTATGATATTTACCTTTGCAAACTCATTTATTACTTTTCGTATTGTACAGTTACCATTGCTGCTTTTGTTCTACCGTAATAAGCGACACACGTGACTTTGACAAACTCGCCAAGCAATGTAATGTGAACATCAGATATCATTGTGCATTGCGTTTGTTTATAATACGGTAAGGTATGGCGACATCGGTTTTGGAAGTATTCGTCCGCTAATTCATTTCTATTGTCTTATTATTACGATTTCTGTCATTCCGGGTCTAGATGATTGTCCTTGTGAAATTTTTGTACTTAACTGCCCCCACGATACAGAAGAAAATTCCAGTGTGAAGGTTTTAAAAAAAATGCGACGGACGGCTCTGTAGTCGGGAGTTACTAAATGTAAGTATAAGCATTTGGCTCCGGCGCGTCGTTGCTGTTGCTGCTGACGGCAAATACTATTATTCTAATGGGACATGCTTACATCCAGCACTAGGTTTTTGCGAGCCGATGATGAAGAAGAAGTAGGAGCTGCCATTAAATAATGACAAAAAAGTAGGAATGTAGTAGTAGAGCCACGCTGCAGCTATATTACGGTTGTAGCACGATTGACCAGAAGGACCACGCTCTCACAGTACCAGCGTAAAATAGCAGCGTAATACTGTTGGTGTTTCGTATGGTGAGTGTAGAGATAGGGAGACCCGTTTTTACTGGTTACGAGACATTCCGTCTTAGTCCTCACGGGTGACAACGCACCTGCGTTTTGATTCTTTATCGAGGTAGATGTCTGTGGGCCATAGCATCCACTCACCATCAGGTGGACTGTGTGCTCGTTTGCCACCCTTATTCTATAAAAAAAGAATCAATAATTTCTTTATTTGTGAAAATGGAATTATGAATTCATTCTCTGCATTTTTGTACAATATGTTTTTATTCTATTATTAAAATAATAAAAATATTTGGAAAATCAAAAAGTAAAATACGCTTATTATGTTAAAAATTAACACTAAAAGATGACAATAGTGACGATAATTTTACAAGAAAAAAAAAACAGAATCTGATCGATTTTCATTAAAAACTTTTAAACGGTGTTGAGTTCAATAACGAAAATCGATAAGGATCTTCCTTAGAATATAATATAAATTTGACGTCCTGCTAAAAGTATAGGAACGATTTTGTTTAGCGAAATTGAGTTATGGCCACATATCGAGAGTAGAGCACTCCGACCACGTTGTGAGTACAAAAGCATTTTTCGTACATAATTTTCTATGTTATAAAGCAAAGGTTTTCTATGTTATAAAAGAGAATGCCTCGGGCATTAAGTCCGTCTATACATATTTTTTGAAGTTTTAATAAATAAATTATGCCGCTTATACCTAAAGAATTCATCAGAATCGTCGTAATAGTGAAGACGGACGGATTTAGTATGATACAGCAAAAGCTGGCGATGTCAACTGTACAGCGCGTTGTCCAAGGGTTTCGAGTGCTGCATCCAACCTATGCAGATTAGGATCACGATAGAGAGGGAAGAACGTAAAATACTCGGAGTAAAACACTAATGATCTAACAAGTGCACCTGCACTTGTTGATATATTGGCAAAAACTTTCTCTCAATCATTCTCATTGGACGCTATTTTATTTATGTTGAGCTTAGTCATAGTGTCAGTTAAAATTAAAATTGGTCTTTACCGAAAATTAAAAAAGTTACGCCGTTGCTTTAACAAGTCCCCAATATGGGAGACCTTGTGAGAAAAAGCGGCAAGAAACTCACTAGAAGACTATTTTAGCCCAGTACTTACAATTTAAACGCATCAAAAATAAATGCACAAGTCAATAAAATCAAGGAAGCTCCAAACATTCTTTTCATTTAAGAGATCTTCTAATATCATCATTACAGCCCATCACAAGTCCATATGCTGAACATAGGCCTCGCTCAAGGAATGCTATGAAGCACGGTCCTGAGCCTGAAACTTCCTGCACCAGGTCGTCACTCCAGCTAGTAGAGGGCCGCCCTACACTTCGCCTTAGGGTATGAGGCTGCCACTCGAAAAGCTTTGTTCTTCCTCATCGGTTGTCGGTTCTTCGAGCTATATGGCTGGCCATTTGCCACTTAAGCTTAATAACCCGTTGGGCTATATCTGTTATGGTCTGATGCTACTGCGGATATCCTCATTTCTAAGTTTATCACGCGGAGAAACCCAGAGCATAGCCATCTCCATAACTCCCTGAGCGATGTTCAGATTCTTCATACGACCAGCAGTGAAGGACCACGTCTCAGATCCATGTCATCACTAGCAAATATTAATAATGTTACTACGTAAGTAGTACGTGGTACGCTAACCGGTAGATATATAAAATATAACGGAAGACCTTGAGCGAGTGACGGAGACCTGTCATTTGCAACACGCACTTGTAATTTATAATAACCTTTTTTCATTAGAATGGTTTATGCATGCGCCTGAAAATTATGCGAAGGCAATTCGGTAATATTACCAGGAAACTTGTTATTATAGGGGTTAAGTTAATAGTTAAGCAATCAGTTATTGATTTTCAGGCAGGTTTTGAATTAAGCATGAAGACGTCAAAGATGTCTATATTTTGAGGTCTTCATGCTATACTAATTCGCCTTCTCACGTGGTCCTAACACAGCAGACAGCTCGCAATTTCAACGTTGCGTTTGGAGAGGATACGGCTCACGAACGCACTGCGCGTTTATGGTTTATAATCGGTTTCGTAGTGGAAACTTCGGATGGAAGAATGAACCGCGAGGTAGACCAGTTACTAAAGCAATTATCGATGAATTAAAAGTCATCCTTAATTAATTAGGGTCATAGCTTGACTTTCGCTTATCCACAATATTGATTCATTTGCACCAAATTGGTAAAGTAAAAACTCGAGAAATAGGTGAATCATGAGTTAACTTTGTTGAAGGTTGCCTTGTTTTGATAAGTAGGTACAGAAATTAATTGAACAGAATTGCGACATGGGATAGAAAGTGCTCAGACAAATGTATTTTGGATTAAATATAATAATATTTTGAGACTATTATTTGCCTTGTCTTGGACCAGGATATTTTCCGAAAGCCACACTTAGATAGTGCTTATAAAATGGCACTTTGACTGCAGAAATATAGGTAGAGAAATCTCAAATAAACAATTTTATGACTTCCAATAATATCCAATAATATCAGATGATATATTATGAATCTCAACTCCTATCGAGCACGCTTCGAACGAGCTCATACAATACATGAATTGACGGGGAAATGCGAAATGTAGAATTAACACAGTGTGATCTGGTATTTGCTGAGAGGAACATGTAAAATATTTTCCAGGATCGGTTTTGATGCCTTGTATACATATAAGATTGCGTAAAACCCTCATCGACAGCACGCAAAAGTTCTATAAAGTATACAGGGTTATTTTTCAAAGAGTAGCCAAATTACGTACGTACAAATAACAAGTTTATGTACGTAAACTGCTTCCACGCTACAAGATAAAATGCTATTGTGGGGGTTACGTTTAAAAAAAAAGGAAAAAAGAAAAGAACACAAGCTGTATTGAAGTTGCGTAAGTCCCGCCACATGCATTTGGAACACGAGCTTGTCATTCATATCGTCCACTGCATTGCAGTCTTCTAGACACTAAAAATGATTTTGTAACTCGAGCTGAAAATTTTCGGGGCTTTGGATTAGAGCACAGGGGGAACGGAGTGTTGACTACACTACACGTGACTTCTTCTACTTAACGTTTAGGTTCAGTGTGTGTCTCACCATTCAGTGAGAGAAGAAGATTTCTGAGCGATATACTAAGAAGAAAAAATAAAATTGTGTAAATTCAAAACTTAACTATAAAATTAACAGTTTTAGTAATGGCGACATCAGGTCTTGAAAAACTGATTGCGCACTGAGCTTGTAGATATGGAACCCACCGATGCACAGTAGAATAACGTGACTACTTTTTGCGTCAATACCCATTCGAAATTGCAGGAAAACCTTAATTCCGCACAGTTTTTTGAAATTTCATCTTTCATCCGATTGAAGGATTAACTGCCGATTAAAATCCAAAAAGTCCTAACAAAAATTAAGATTGCATTGGTCGTTAGACGAATGTAAAAATACAGACTGATGTTGTAATAATATTTCACAAAATCTATTGATTGACAGTTCTTTTTCTCTATAAATCTGCTAATTTAAAACGCTTTACTTCGAAGGTTCGTAATAGGCGGATCCCCAACAATCAAGTTCCAATTTATTTTAGCAACGTATCAAATTACGTTTGATAATATCTCGAACAATAGAAATGTAATACATGTAACAAATTAATTTTCCCACATGCCCTTAAAGTAATAACATCCTTTTGTGTGTAAACAGTATCTATTACTTATTCAGCTAAAGGTACGTATGAATGATCCGGCGTCACAACATTTAAAAGCTCATTGGTGCGTGCGCCCCATTGATTGCGGTATATGATAACATCTACGATAATTTAAAGGGTCGCATCCCTGTTTAATCTTAGGACTTTACTAGGCGGGACGTAGACAAGCCCCGCCTGCTTTTGTTAGCCAAACTTTTAAACAGGCGAATGTAAAATCTCCTTTTAAACGAAGTTTAGATTGCAAACGGCATGGATTCGTCTTCATTGCATTCGGATTCTAAGTGCAACTCGGATTTTAGTATAAAGAGGATTTTAGGAAATGATACTGAAAGTGTTCGTGAGGATGTGGCAACACCAAGCTGGTTATGTTGCACGCGATACAGACCTCCACGATTACCAAGTGAGAATTCTTATTGTTTGATTATTTCGTTTATTTCGTTGTGGTAGATAGTAGCTGCTACATTGACAAATATTTTCTCTAAAACCCCTCTCAATAATGAGGTAACGATAGAGCCTAGCGGTGAGATGTACCTAATCCCTATATAATTATACCTATATTTTTTTGATACTTTGTACTTTTTGCTTTAAAACTACGGTGTATAATTTGTTAAAAAAGTATTAATGGCAGCTTAATGAGAAAAAGTAAATTATTTTATTGATTAATATCACTTCAGTTGTTTTAACAATTTCTTATACTGTAGTCAGGCATATTTTCAATTCATACCTAAGTATAATACGTAAATTGCTGTGTGCAACCAATTGAGACCGCCTGGCGTTCTAGGCTCCTAAGTTCAAATTCCAGCAGAGGTTAACATTCGTCCAAAAACACAAATTATTAATCTGTGACTGACACTGAAACCTTCCTCCGATCTTATTAATTGTATAATTAGGTATGCGTCACGCCGGACGACCCAAAGGATGATAAATGACGTTTATTGTTCTATCACTTATTTCAGTTTGCTGGAGATGAGATTCAAACAGTATACAGTAACACTATCACTACACACTAAAAGTATGATGTGTCTCAACACAAGCAAAATTATTTTTATTATTATCGAAAGAACAGCGCCAAAGATTAGGTTCTCGTAATCTTTCCGTATACCTACTCAATATTATATATTTAATTTTGCTTCACCTAACTCAAATGTGTGACTTTGTGACTGTGATGGTCATTTATATTTATATCTTGACGCGCATAGACAAATATCTTGAACCCGAACAGATATTTGCAGGCCTTACTAACACTCGTTCCGATCCGTGTGAATTCGGACCCACGAACATGCAGAAACATAGATAAACGCTGTGCCACTGCGCTAAAATTCAGTTGAATTTTATACGATTGGCGTGATGTAGTCGATTATTGCCAGCCTCGAATATTTCAGGAACTGTTAATAATACAACGTGTCGACCGCGACGCTCCGGTCGGCACGCTCGAGTGCCGTTCACTGCAAGTCAGGCGGCTGCTTTGGAGGCCGCATACTCTCGAGCACCGTACCTGGCTCCACCAGCTCTTCGTGCCCTCGCTGCTGCATTACAGCTCCGTGATGACAGGGTAATTAATTTTTTTCTTATTAATCAGCCTATAAATAGTCTACACCTGACCTAGAGCTTAGAGTTCTGCTGTATTATGGTTATAATACGAACAGCTAAGCACGATAGGGACGGGACGTGGTCCCTCCGCAAAGAATATTTAGTCCAGGAGGAATCGGCGCATGAGTACCGAGAACTATTCCACCTCAATTTTTTATGTGATTCCCTTCAAATTATCCTATTAATTATATAAATGCAAGTTGTCATGAGGCTACTCGGGGCCATATTGTTTGAGGTAGAATAAGCTTTCGGAACTCATGCACCGATTTCTCCTAGACTAATGTATGTTTTATATGATGAGTGATGAAAATCGGAGAACCTTTTTACTAATAAAAAGCACTCAATCTTAATCCTCAGGGTTGACCAAGCATCTTTGTATAAAAGTGGTGGCGAGCCACGCTACAGCTATATTATGCTTGTAGCACTAATGGGTCGACTCGGCCGGGGAAGGACCACGCTCTCACGGAATACCAGCGTAAAAAGCAGTCTACTTGCTGCTGTGTTTCGTATGGTGAGTGTAGAGAAACGGAGACCCTTTGTACTAGAAACGAGGCATTCTATATTAGACCTCAGGGGTGATAACGTATCACAAGTTTGATTCTTACTTGTAGATAGTTGTAGATGTCAATAAGCCGCAGCATCCAGTTACTAACAAATGGACTGTGTACTCGTTTGAAAACAGATGAAGTGACAAACGAACAGACACGCCACCTGGTGGTAAAGTGGATGCTGTCCGTGCCGTAGACAGAGAAACCTATAGACAAATTGACGCCTTCTTTTGCATTCGCACACGAAAAAGATAGATTTATGCATACGTCTTGCATAGAAGTAAGACAAAGCAGTGTGATTGTTTGTCCCTTTCTCCGTGCCGGAGGCGCCCAAGCGGTCAAATTAACTTGAGGTTTATATCAACAGCAAAGCACTTGTTTCGTCGTTTTCTCTAATAGTTCACACGCGCAGACACTTAATTCATAAAACAACATCACTTTTACGAATAAAAATCAACTTCAAACCATTATTCAAGCGACAAAACATGAGCGACAATCCGTCGACTGCCAAGTTCCCGCCAAAACTCCTAGAAGGCTACAGATGCTCTGTAACCTCTGAGGACTAAGATGGAATGCCTCACAGCCTGTAACTATAATGGCTTTCTAATACCTTTTAGACCAAACACAGAAGTGGCAACACTGTTGTTTGTGAGCAGAAGTAGGTAAGAGGATGGTATATACCCAGACGTACTGCTAGCCGGAAAGGAGTCATACATAAAACATACATAAACACTCACGCCTGTCACCCAGAGGGGTAGGCAGAAACTACAGACTTCCATTTGGCACGATCCTGACACACCTCTCTCGCCGGTTAAGTGTACTCCTAATTTGGCCCGTTTTCAATAAATCGCTAATTTGGTCGATAAATTTTCGCCTAGGACGTCCCTTTCCGAGTCTGCCATTCACTTCTGCAACATAAATTTTCTTTGTCACTCTTTCCTCATTCATTCTTTCCACATGACCAAACAACGAAGAATTTCTTTCTTAATCCTGATCACAACAACATCTTGCAAACCACACTCTTCTCTTATCAGGAAAGGAGTCCTAATGTCTAGTAAATATGCCACTAAATTCTGGTTCACAATCAAGGATAGATGTTAGTGTCTATGGGCACCATGACCTCATATTTAAAGGTACATTGATATTTACAACAATAGTATCCTGAAAGTGATCGCGAGCTGACTGGACTGCCTATAAATGTGCCATATCTAGTGGAATGGTGAGAAAACGGCACATATAAATATTATATTTTTCTTTCCTTCATTAATAATAATATTATGTCTACTAACTTAGTTATTTTAGTTTATTTATAAGTAATACTAACAAAATATGGGCCTTGGATGCTTGACTAAATAAAATATATGAATTTACAACATCCGGTGGAATGTGTTCTCGCTTGACAACTTTATTTCTATAGAAAGAGGAACCTTGCAGTAATCACCACGCTTTAATAGACTTGCCAATTTTCGACGAAATCAATAAAAGATGTTTCACATATGGTATCTACATTATAGGAATATTGAGTATATGATTACATCGACATGTAGTTGCAGTGTTCCGAAACGCGACTGCAGATCAAGAGGCTCTGGGTTCGAATCGCAGATCGGGTCAATATCAATTATTGGGTTTTTCTGTAAAGAAAGTCTACGTCCGCCCGTAATAAAAAAATTGAGGGGTTTTATTCTCGTGCCTCAATAAGCATATATGGCTATTAGGAATTCACCCGTGCTTGTGCGCACATTCGTGTGTCGACTGGCTGCCGTGACCTAAGATTGGGTCTAACGGCGCCTCTACACGTTGGCCAACACAGTGGCGAATGTAGTGGCCAATAGCATTGGCCAACGTATAGAGGGGGTGTTTGGGCTTCATTGGTGTGTATTGGAACGATGGCCCACAAGTTGGCGCGAGATCCGTGTGGTGTCATTTTTTACAAAAGATCAAAGGATTGTTGGCAGAGTTTGGTCGCCGCGTCCACACATTGGCCGCGCGTTTAGTTTGCTACAAGCTCCCAGAGTGATTACATGCATCTGATTTAAATTTTATATTCAAGCTTTGTAGGGTGGATGCCCCAATTACCAGTCTTTTAGTGCCAATTTCAACTTTAAACATTCCTACCACTTTAATTAGCGCGATTTAATTATTTTTAAGCGTTTGTTTTAATCGATAAGCTATTTATCAAAAAAAAATGAACATTTATTTACAATCAGATTATTACGAGAACAATTTTAAAATGAAGCACGTCGTTTATACGTGGTAGAGCCATGCTGCAGTTATATTAGTAGTATAGTTGTAGCATGAATGGGTCGGCTCGACCGGGGAAAGACCACGCTCTTACAGAATACGAGCGTAAAATTGTAGCTTAATGCTGCTGTGTTTCATATGGTAAGTGTAGAGAACCGGAGACCCTTTTTAAAGGAAACGAGGCATTTCATCTCAGTCCTCACGGGTGACAACGCATCTGCATTTTGATTCGTAATCGAGGATAGATGTAGATGTCTGTGGGCCGCAGCAACCACTTACCATCAGGTGGACTGTGTGCTCGTTTGTCACCCTATCCGATAAAAAAACGTCGATTTTTTATAATTTAATCGTGCAAGTTTTCGAATCAGCATCATCATTACAGCTGTTCACAAGTCTGCTACTGAACATCCTCCTCCACAGACTGCCGCAAAGCATGGTCCTGAGCCACTTTGCTCGTCATGAGTTTTTCATTTATGTTCTAAGTTATAATTAGTACCTATTATTAAGTCAATGTTAATTATATTTATTGCTATTGTTTTTGTCTTTCTCAAAAAATAATTAAATTACCAAATAAATTATAAGGTGTTTTTATATACACCAAATGTCTGATTGAAAAGCAAGTACATGTTTTGCTAAACTTTAAAATCAAAACCCAATTTTAAAACATGAACTAATCGATTATAACTCCTTTAACTTTAAAATAAGTTAAGTTCTTATTAATGGTATTTATTCCAGTTTATGATGCATGTAAAGAATAAATAAAGCTAATCGTATATCGTATATCTATTTACAGCCCCATTAATATCCACTATTCTTTTATAATTATTTTATAAAAACGTTACCCCCCCCCCACACTTGGATTTTCTCCTGTGTCGCGGAGGTTACTTACAAACATAAATTGCACAAGGACACACATCCAGACCCGAAACAATTATTTGTAGGATATACAAATACTTGTTCCTTGTGGGATTCAAACCCGCGACCCCCAGCGCAGCCACTCATTGCTGAGCCACTGCGCCACGGTGCCGTCGTCTAATAGCTCCTCTACACGATGGGCCAACGCTGGCCCAGCGAGATGGCCATGCGATGGTTGAAACAAAACTACACGATGGCGAGTAGCGCCATTCAGGTTGTGATCGAAATGTTTTTCGAGATGAACGTGGAAGCATTATCCGCTGCGGCAATATATCTATACAACATGTCATTTTTTATTGTCTTTTTTAATGTGCACAAGAATAGAGTTATCAAAAAGAAATGGCGTAGAAAATGGTGGATGTTATCTTCTATCCATCGCATTAGAACTAAATATGTCCTGAGTCAATTTAGTTTTCTTTAAATAAAAATAATTAAATAATTATAACTAATTGTTAATAATTTAATAAATAATTAGTAATTAATAATTAAAAATAAATAAATAAAAAATAAAATACAGTAAAATATAATAGGTATATGTTCTGATTTTAGTAGCTCTATGATTAAAATTTTATAACTTTATTAAGTCGGCCACATATTCGTCATTTTTAATTTGATAATTAGAAACATAACACGAACGTCCACACGCAACTGTCGAGTATGCACAACTGTGGAATGGGCCACGTGTAGATGCGTATACCACCATCGCTGGCCCGCTACCTTTGATGTGCGGCGGAAAAACCGACACCGTCACCAACCCCAAGACCATCGCATGCGCCATAATGTCGCCTCTACACGTTGGCCAACACAGTGGCGAATGTAGTGGCGAATATATTGGCCGAAAGTTGGTGACGGCGCCCACACGTTGTAAGGTCGTTCAGTTTACTTCGGTTCGGGCCAATGTGCGGACGAATTTATTTTATTTTAGACGTCGGATCCGTGGCGCAGGCGGCTTGGCAATGAGTGGCTGTGCTAGGGGTCGCGGGTTTGAATCCCGCAAGGAACAAGTATTTGTACATCCTACAAATAATTGTTTCGGGTCTGGATGTGTGTCCTTGTGCAATTTATGTTTGTAAGTAGCCTCCGCGACACAGGAGAAAATCCAAGTTTGGGGGGGGGGGTAACGTTTTTATAAAATAATTATAAAAGAATAGTGAATATTAATAGGGCTGTAAATAGATATACGATATACGATTAGCTTTATTTATTCTTTACATGCATCAGAAACTGGAATAAATACCATTAATTAGAACTTAAGTTATTTTAAAGTTAAAGGAGTTATTATAGATTAGTCCATGTTTTAAAATTGGGTTTTGTTTTTAAAGTTTAGCAAAACATGTACTTGCTTTTCTATCAGACATTTGATGTATATAAAAACACCTTATAATTTATTTGGTAATTTAATTATTTGTTGAGAAAGACAAAAACAAGAACATAAATGAAAAATTCATGACAAGGAAAGTGGCTCAGGACCATGCTTTGCGGCATTCTTTGGAGGAGGATGTTCAGTAGTGGACTTGTGAAGAGCTGTAATGATGATGATGATTCGAAAACTTGCACGATTAAATTATAAGAAATCGACGCTTTTTATATAGGATAGGGTGACAAACGAGCACACAGTTCACCCGATGGTAAGTGGTTGCTGTGGCCCACAGACATCTACATCTATCCTCGATTACGAGTCAAAATGCAGATGCGTTGTCACCCGTGAGGACTAAGATGAAATGCCTCGTTTCCTTTAAAAAGTGTCTCTGGTTCTCTACACTCACTATACGAAACACAGCATCATTAAGCTACTATTTTACATTGATATTCTGTGAGAGCGTGGTCCTTCCCCGGTCGAACCGACCCATTCGTGCTACAACTATACTTCTAATATAACTGCATGGTTCTACCACGTATAAACGACGTGCTTCATTTTTTTGATTTTAAAATTGTTCTCGTAATAATCTGATTGTTAATAAATGTTCATTATTTTTTTTTATAAATAGCTTATCGAATAAAACAAATGTTTAAAAATAATTAAATCGCGCTAATTAAAGTAGTATGAATGTTTAAAGTTGAAATTGGCACTAAAAGGCTGGTAATTGGGTATCCATCCTACAAAGCGTGAATATAAAATTTTAATCAGATGCGTGTAATCACTCTGGGAGCTTGTAGCAAACTAAACTCGCGGCCGACGTGTGGACGCGGCGACCAAACTCTGCCAACAATCCTTTGATCTTTTGTAAAAAACCGACACCACACGGATCTCGCGCCAACTTGTGGGCCATCGTTCCAATACATACCAATGAAGCCCAAACACCCCGTCTACACGTTGGCCAATGCTATTGGCCACTACATTCGCCACTGTGTTGGCCAACGTGTAGAGGCGCCGTAAGCCATCCGACACAACTACGCCCTCCACACGTTGGCCCATCATAGTGTGCCATCGCGTTGGCCGAACGTGTAGAGGGGCTATAATAAATTCGTCCGCACATTGGCCCGTACCGAAGTAAACGGAACGACCTTCCAACGTGTGGACGCCGTCACCAACTCTCGGCCAATATATTCGCCACTACATTCGCCACTGTGTTGGCCAACGTGTAGAGGCGACATTAAGGAAACATTATTATTGCACCATTTACGGTGTCATACAAAATAAAGAGGAAAACTTACAAGTTAAATTTTCAGATAGGGCCTTTGTTAAAAAGTTTAGCAACATTGCAATACATTGTTCCAGGTCAGCATCAACCGGCCGTTAAAAGCGATTGATGAGGTTCACATTATTGGCTTAATATACTACTACAAGCCAGTAAGGTATTTGTGTACTCCTATATATCATGTTCATACCACTATTAGCTATGTAAATAACTGGCCACGGCCATAGAATAAATAATAGTACTACACAGCTTTTAGTTCGCAGGGTTTCAAACACGAACAATAAATAATTATTGTTCAAATTAAAAGAAAAGAATTTAGCTATTTGACAGGTATAGAAGAGTATATTACATAGAATATACTGGCAATTCTACGTCTATGGTATATTAAGTAGGTTATTTTTAGTGTAGTAATATACATTTACATGTGTATTTATATGTACGTTATGTATGTTTATATATTTATATCGCTGTATACATGTTTTCATGTTTTTATGACAAGCTCGTGGTTGACTGATAGGAAATGCCTACAGGCATTAATTAAGTCCGCCAATTGTAAACTTTAGGTGCAATAAATATTTTAAATAAATTAATCATTCAATATAATTGCGCCTTTGTGTTTCACTTTCTAATTATAAGCTTTTTAGCCAAAACCAACAGCAACTTCCCATTTTAAAATATAGTAAAGTTGTTGGATTCAATATATCAGAGCCCAAATTTCTACATATCTTGACATTTTGAGATCTATAAAGTCCGATTAGTTCTACTCTTTTTGAAAGAATGTCTGCGTGTGTATGTAAAGGTGTGCGCGCGTGCGATCGTATGTTAGTTAACTTTATTCATCTTGCATATCTAGAAAGGAAAGTGGTATCTCGATGGGGCGTTGATGATATGGTCTCCTAACCAACATTATTCGACGCATACCTTGTTAAGTTTTCATTTGAAGGAATCGATTCTCTAGTTGTTTTTAAATAAAAATAAAGGTCTTCACATTTTAAATTAGTGATAAATATTGTGAGCAATTGCAGATATGAAATGAGTAATTAGTGAGCAATTTTGTGGACCTATTCAATATTCTGATCGGTTAAGGAATAAAAAATTTTGTACTTTTAATTATTAATTACTAATTAAATAATTAGTAAATAGTTTGAGCAATTGCGTATTACGGTTAGACATTTTGTGAGCAATTAGTAGTACTTATTCATTTTTAAAAAAGTTCTTTGGTTTTAGGGCAATAACAATTTCGTATTTTTAATTATTTATAACTAATAAAATAATTGATAAATATTGTGAGCAATTGCACATTTGAAATGAGCAATTAGTGAGCAATTTTGTGCACCTAATAAATATTATGATCGGTTAAGGAAAAAAATTGTACTTTTAATTAATAATTACTAATTAAATATTTAGTAAATAGTTTGAGCAATTGCTTATTACGGTTAGGCATTTTGTGAGCAATTAGGAGTACTTATTCATTTTTAAAAAATGTCTTTGGTTTTAAGGCAATAACAATTTTGTATTTTTAATTATTAATAACTAATAAAATAATTGATAAATATTGTGAGCAATTGCAGATTTGAAATGAGCAATTAGTGAGCAATTTTGTGCACCTATTCAGTATTATAATCGGTTAAGGAATAAAAAAATTTATACTTTAATTATTAATTACTAATTAAATAATTAGTAAATAGTTTGAGCAATTGCGTATTACGGTTAGACATTTTGTGAGCAATTAGTAGTACTTATTCATTTTTAAAAAAGTTCTTTGGTTTTAAGGCAATAACAATTTTGTATTTTTAATTATTAATAACTAACAAAATAATTGATAAATATTGTGAGCAATTGCAGATTTGAAATGAGCAATTAGTGAGTAATTTTTTGCACCTATTCAATATTATAATCGGTTAAGGAATAAAAAATTTTATACTTTTAATTATTAATTACTAATTAAATAATTAGTAAATAGTTTGAGCAATTGCGTATTACGGTTAGGCATTTTGTGAGCAATTAGAAGTACTTATTCATTTTTAAAAAAGTTCTTTGGTTTTAAGGCAATAACAATTTTGTATTTTTAATTATTAATAACTAATAAAATAATTGATAAATATTGTGAGCAATTGCAGATTTGAAATGAGCCATTAGTGAGCAATTTTGTGCACTTATTCAATATTCTGATCGTTTATGGAAAAAATTTTGTACTTTTAATTATTAATTTTTAATTAAATAATTAATTAATAGTGTGATCAAATACGGGTTTGAATTAAGCATTTCTTGAGCAATTAATGGTATTTATTCGTTTTTAGAAAAGTTCATTGGTTTTAAGTATAATAGGGAAAAAATATTTTGTATTTTTAATTATTAATAACTAATAAAATAATTCATTAATAGTGTGAGCAAATGCGGATTTGAAGTGAGCAATTAGTGAGCAATTTAGTGCATTTATTCATTTATCTGAGCGGTTATACTTCCAAGCCAGCTTCTTTGTGGTCATGTATCCTCGATTACGAATCAAAATTCAACTGCGCTGTCACCCCTTAGGACCAAGATGGAATGTTTCGTCTCCGGTAAAAAAGGTCTCCGGTCTTCTACAATCACCATGTGTGAGTTTGTTACACAGCAGCATTAAGCTGCTATTTTATGCTGATATTCTGTGAGTGTATTCCCACCCCGATCGAACCGACCCATTCGTGCTACGACCGTAATAAAGATGCAGCGTGGCTCTACCACGTATAGACATTTAGGTATAGCTAGTGTACGACAAGGTTGCGAGCTATCACCTACGCTGTTTCTTCGGCAGTTATATCAATTATATACAGCTGTTACGGGAAGTAAGCTTTAAAGCTCAAACAAATATTTATGCTAACATCATGTTTTTACGGGATTTATAAATATGTTTTTATTTTAAAATAATGATAAACGATTTAAACTTATGTAATTTGTTTCAGATAAAAATTTGGTTCCAAAATCGTCGAGCAAGAGAACGGAGGGAAAAAAGTAGTGCCATTACTCCACCTCAAGCTGTGCCACTACCACCTACGTCTCCTCCTAGTCCAGCCGTTGTCTTACAAAACAGACCATGGGTTCCTAACTTAAATTTATATCCTTGTGAAACTCAAAACTCTAAAGAAGAAAATAAACCTACGAATACAACAGCACGATTACATCAAACGACATCTTTTGCAATACATTTACTTCGTTCTAATACTACTGGCATTAAGGATTCTGAATCTGATGAAGATCGATGTGATAGTCCTCTAGATATAGAAACTATAGCCGACTGAAAAAAAAAGAAATGATTTGTTAAAGTTCATATATTATATTAAATGTAAACAATTTTAACTTTCCATTAAGGGTTCGACAAATTTTTGAAAAGACCTAATATGGTCACTTTTATTACTTGAGATTGTTTCCACAACAGTAATTTCATTGCACATTATGTGTGTTTAAAAACAAGTTGGAGCCGTGGTAGCTCAGATGGTTAGCGCTCGTTGTAAATTTCACAATACGCGAGCAAACCGGGTTCGATCAATGAAATTGTTAATTGCAATTTTAAGTGCTGATTTACCACGTGCTTGGCGGTGAAGGAAAACATCGTAAGGAAACCTGCATGTCTGAGAAATAAGAAAAAAAATATTTCGAAGACATGTGAAGTTCGCCAACACGCATTGGGGCAGCGTGGCGGACTATTCCTTGCCCTAAAACCCTCTCAGAAAATGAGAGGAGGCCTGTGCCCAGCAGTGGGACATATATAGGCTGTACTTTTACTTTAAAAACAAAAAGAACCTAACTGTGATGATACTATTGTAAAAATAAAGTTATTTATAGTAAACAGCTATCTAACATGCGGTCTTATTACTTAAAACCCGATAATTTTTTAAATAAATTAAAGGTACACAAAGAATGTATATTACATTATCTATACATACAAAATGCTTTACACTGAATTACTTACTGACGGATCAACGCACAGCCTAAACCGCTGATCGTAGAGACCTGAAACTTGGAGAGTGTGATCTTTGTATGAAATTGGGACATTGGTATTTTTGTGTCTATAAACTTTCTGCGTGGCCTGTTGTAGGTACATATAACAATCAATGATGGAGAAAATTTTTGTAGGCATTATGAATCTCTTCGTTAAAAATGAAGTTGTGAAATGTCTCTAAAATTAAGTCTCCTTCTTCTTCTTCTTTCTTTTTTATGGCGGATTTGATCATTCGCCAATGTCAGTGTGAAAGTGTTTATTGAGTAGACATTGATTTTCATAGCGGGAAGTTAAAAATTAATTCCTCCAAAACTGGACACTTTGGTTCCGAGGTAACAATGAAAGGTCAGTTGTCTATAGGGTCCGAGATGCAATTGTTTATTTCGGTTGTTTAGCTCGGTTATTGAGGCGCAGAGCGAAAGTAATAGGTTGTTATATAAGTACGTAGTATTTTTTTCCAGGCCAGAACCAGATATCGGGTTATATAATCAATTTTATATAATAAATATAATGTGTTAAATTATGCAAGTATAAATTCGGCTGATCTATTAATTAACGGTTTCATTAAAGAAAAACGCTGACAGGTTGTCTCGCTTACGGCTAACTTATTAACGTTATCCGGCTTTTACTCAGTAAATATTGCAAAAACTCTTGGCAAACGGAGTTTTAATACCTTAGTATCATAATAGAGATGCGAGCAAGTAGATGAGTTTGTATATTTGGGCTGCGTATTTAGCAGGGATGGGAGATATGATAAGGATATAGAACGACGAGTGAATGCGGGAAATAGAGTAAATGGGGCCTTGCACTCTATTGTGAAGAGTCAAAATGTGTCGAAAAAGGCACGTATGGCAATTCACAATGCTGTGTTGGTCCCTACTTTAACGTATGGTAGTGAAAGTTGGGTGTGGCAGAAGAAGCACGAGAGTAGAATAAACGCAGTAGAAATGCGGTCGTTAAGGAGTATGTTAGGGCTGAATCTGAATGACAGGGTAAGAAATTGTATAATAAGAGAAGAGTGTGGTTTGCAAGATGATGTTGTGACCAGGATTAAGAAAGGAATGCTTCGGTGGTTTGGTCATGTGGAAAGAATGAATGAGGAAAGAGTGACAAAGAAAATTTATGTTGCAGAAGTGAATGGCAGAGTTGGAAAGGGACGTCCTAGGCGAAAATTTATCGACCAAATTGGCGATTTATTGGAAACGGGCCAAATTAGGAGTACCCTTAACCGACGAGCATGTATGCGTTGGTGTATGGATGTGAAGGAGGCGAGAGAGGTGTGTCAGGATCGTGCCAAATGGAAATCTGTAGTCTGTGCCTACCCCTCTGGGTGACAGGCGTGAGTGTTTATGGATATGGATATCATAATAGACTGTGATTTAATAGATAGGGTTCTGAGAATTGAAGAGTCGTATTCATCTTGAAGTAGTTCTTAATATAATATTTAAGCATTACTAAAGTTTTACGATCCGATCTGATGACTCGTAATGAGGATATCCACAATAGACTGGAGAGACTGGAGTAACAGACATATCACAACAGATCTCTAAGCTGAAGTGACAGTAGGCAGGCCATTTGGCTCTAAGAGCCGACAACCCATGGATAATAAAGGTTTTCGAGTGGCAGTCTAATATCAGTAAGCGAAAATAGGGCTAGTACGCACTACTATAATGGGGTGGCGACCTGAACCTGATAAAGATGCAGGAAGTCGACGGATGCAGGTGGCTCAAGACCGTGCATTGTGGTGAAGCCCATGTTCAGTAGTAAGCTTGTGATGGGCTGTAATGATGATGATGATTAGCGGTAAAACCATTGTGCACAGCTAACAGATGACTGCTCGTCATTGGCGCAGTACCTATATTTTAGTAATGACGTGAATGTTTTATTTATTTTCTTTAACTAATTGACCGTTATTACCAAGGGGAATGCAAGGTGAATGCTCAAACAGCGATATCGATACGTACTTGTCTCTTTAGTTACTTATAACGTTCTTTACAATTACCTTTGCACGTAAAAAAACAAATAAGATAAGACTAATTAAGAAATAACAAAATCAGTCTTAACTTAAAATCTCATTAAGTTTAGATAAATAGGTTAACAACAACAAAAATTTAAATGTAAAGGGCGTTTAAGTACAGCGATAAAATTAAGTAGAATTGAACCATAACCGTCTCTTTAAAATTTTGTCGTTTTAGCGTAGTTATCTTGAAAAAAAAACCGGCCAAGAGCGTGTCGGGCCACGCTCAGTGTAGGGTTCCGTAGTTTCCCGTCCGCCACAATAAGTGTTCCCACTTATGAGTTTAAAGGTGGGTATCCATTATGTTCGCGCTCCAGTAGCGCTCCGCGCTCCTGCAACTGCTCCCGGTAGTGGGTACTGTTGTTTCCATCCAAGTTCAAAATGATTTTCCTAGAAAGTCCTTATAAAGTTATTCTTTTCAGATTTTTTTCATATTTTTTAAACTTATGGTTCAAGTTAGAGGGGGGGAGACATTGTTTTTTTTTACTTTTGGAGCGATTATTTCCGAAATTATTGACATTATCAAAAAATGATTTTAGTAAACCCCTATTCATTTTTAAATACCTTTCCAACAATATATCACACGTTAAGGTTGAAATTAAAAAAAAATCACTTCCCACTTTACATATAGGGGGGCTACCCTAATGAAACATTTTTTCCAATTTTTATTTTACCACTATGTCGGCGTGATTGACACACATATTGGTACCAAATTTCAGCTTTCTAGTGCTAACGGTCACAGCGATTAAGCGAGGACGGACAGACGGACAGACAGACATGGCGAAACTATAAGGGTTCCTGGTTGACTACGGAACCCTAAAAACTATCTGTATCTTCTATACTGTATATATAAAAGAGGTTGTCGTGAGTGACTGTCACATCTATCAACGCACAGCCCAAACCGCTAGACATAGAAATCTGAAATTTTGACAGAAGCTGCCTTTTACAACTTAGGCAACCACTAAGAAAGGATTTTGGAAAATCCAACCCCCAATGGGATGAAATAGGGTAAGGTAGGGTAACAGTTTGTATGAAACTTTTTATTTTACAGGTTGATTTCATATTCGTAAGGTGAAAATGATTTTTGTAACTTGAAAATTGGTACCTACAATAACTTTTGGATTAAAATAAAGAACTACGCATGTTTTTCATTTTTCGTAATTCGCTTAGGCTCTTTCATAGAATACCAGCACAAAATAGCAGCGTAATACTGCTGTCATTCGTATGGTAGGTGTAGAGAACCGGTAACCCTTTTTACTGGAATCGAGGCAATCCGTCTTAACCTCAGGAGTGACAACGCATTTGTATTTTGATCCTTTGTTGAAAACAAATATGGATGTCTATGGGTCACAGCATTCACTTATCATCAGGTGGACTATGTGCTCGTTTGCCACCGAATGCAATAAAAAGATTCTAACCATAAAGCGTTAATATAAGGGTATAATTTTAGCGTGCAAAAATGGCTCTCTAACTTGCATGATTGTGGTATTTATTAATTTTATTTATAGGATAGGGTGACAAACGAGCACACAGTTCACCTGATGGTAAGTGGTTGCTGTGGCCCATAGACGTCTACATCTATCCTCGATTACGAATCAAAATGCAGATGCGATGTCAGCCGTGAAGACTAAGATGGAATGCCTCGTTTCCAGTAAAAAGGGTCTCCGGTGCTCTACACTCACCATACGAAACACAGCAGCATTAAGCTAATATTTTTGACGCTGGTATTCTGTGAGAGCGTGGTCTTCCCCGCTCTAGCCGACCCATTCGTGCTACAACTATACTACTAATATAACTGCAGCATGGCTCTACCACGTATATAAAATGTATGTGGTGACATACTTAATACATATTTTCAAACTTTACATAGTCTGCCTCTATTCACCCTTAAAAGGGTCGATAAAAATTTGTATTTTAATTTCAAGCCTGTGTTTCACACAGAAAAAACGTGTGTTTCAGTATTATTGACAATTCTACCGTTAACGGGGTAAAAATATGGATGAAAAATGGTGTGAAGTTCTACCATGTTTTATTTCTCTTCTTGACAACACTGTTATTATAGCTTTCGATTAGAAACTTTGTAACACGTATTTAAGGAATTTTGGGTACTCTAATTGTAAACAATTTTGCTGCGGATTTCAACTAACCCATATAAGTATTCTTTATTGTACACCAATACAGATGTTCACCAATACAGGTGTACATTTGTACGATTGAAACAGAAAATAAATTAAGTAAAATAATAAAGGTACAATAGGCGGTCTTATCGCTCTGGAAGCGAT